GACTCTGAGCCCCTGGCTCCTCCGCTGGGGCGCGGCGGGCGCAAGTGCCGGAGGCTCGCACCCTCTCTCGGTGAGAGCCATGGATTCGCAGGGGCTGAAGGTGAGCGGACGGGGCCTGGACGCAAGTTGCCTCTGCCGGCGGCGTGGGCCCGGAGGGCGTGGGGAGGAGAGGACTTCGCGAGGGCGTCGTTATCCTGCTGTGCCTTTGCTGCCCGGGTTCGCCAGGCGTCCCAGTCGGGCGGTGCTGGCCTGTAGCTGTATCACCAGGGCCACCTCCATGGGCCCTGCCTTGGAATCTTGAAGTCCGGGGCAGTCACGCTGCTAACGAATTGCCGTTAGTGTGCTTGTCGCACCCCGTTTGGGTTGTTTACTTTTACTTTGTATCCCGTTTGTTCCGGATGCTTGGTCAACGAATAACACCTACTGCGCCTCCCGGTGCGATTTTTAAGGATTTAATTAAGCAAACTAGTGTCAATAAACCGATTGCACAGAACAGGAACACGAAAGATTATATGAAAACAAAGTGCTAGGCTTGAAAATGCAGGAGTCTTTATTTTGGGGTGATGGGCTTCTTTATCACCGATTCATCTATTAAGCAAATATTTTGGGACGGTCCACTGAAGAAGTGATCTAAAAACAGGGACATGAGGCTTGAGAATTAAGTTTCTTTGTAGGATGATGATCTCCCATTTGTTCACTGATTCACTCTTTCAGCACATGTTGATGGAGGGCTCGCTGTGTGTACATTGGCAGCTGGAGAGAGTGATGAGCAGATCTGAACAGCCCCTGCCTTCACAGATTGTACAACCTAATGCTGGACAAAAACCTTAAATTAATTCAACAAGTATTTATTGAGTGCCCACTATGTTGCTGGCACTATTCTAAGCCCTGAAAATAATAAGTCCTGCAATGTTAAAGCTAAGAAAAACACTCCCAGTCTTAGACTTACATTTGAATGGGGGGAGTCAGACGGTAAGTAGTGTGTTAGATGGTGAAAAGTGGATGAAGGACAACTTGGCAGTGACAGAGAGTCCTGGAGGGTCTTCTGATTCTTTGCTTGAGTTACATTATTTTCCAAAGCCCTCCCCATCTCCTTAATTTTTTTCATAACTTTAATTTGTCCTTTGCACTATGAACTAAGTGAACTTTTCAATAAAAACACTTTCATGCCTAATACTGTTATGTGGCTCTTCATCACTTAGACTAGAGGAGTAAATCCAAGTCCTTAACATGAGGCCCTGCTAGACCCTACCTTTCTCTCCAACCTCCTCATCCTAGAATCTGTGTCTTAACATAAGACTCTAAAACAGGGAATGGCAAACTTTCTCTGTAAAGGGTCAAATAGTACGTATCTTGGGCTTCACAGGCCATAGGGTTCCTGGCATCTAACCTGCCATTGCAGCTTGATAGCGACCATAGGCGATACTTAAACAAATGAGTGAGCATGGCCCTGTTCCAGTAAAACTTTATTTATGGACACTAAAATTTGAATTTCTTAGAATTTTCACATGTTATGAATATTTGTTTTGTTTTGCTCCCCCCACCCGCCTGAAAATGTACAAGCCATTCTTAGTTTGCTGACCATACCAAAAAAAAAAAAAAAAAAAAAAAAGAGCAGCTGGCTATAGTTTGTCAATCCCTGCTCTACAATACAGAATGACTTTAAGTCCTCTCCATCGCCTCTCCATCCTTGTGTTTCACTGCTGATTTCTTACCAGTGCTGATTTCTTATCTCTGTTGCTGTTCCTCTGCCTGGTAACTCCTCTACCCTCCTCAAGGATCATGAAGGGGAAATATGTGTACGTGTGGACGGAGTGAGGAGTTCATGATTCAAGAGGGAATTCTGAAGTCCACCCAGAGAATCTTTTTATTCTTCTGTCATCCCACACCCCAACCTCATTCTTTACATCCCTACAACACTTTATAAGCTCTTTTCTTGCTTGTATTTATGGCATGGTATTAGTCTTTGGATTCTAGTCTCAGGTTAAAATTTTAAGCCTTTCTGGGTCAGGAACCATGTCTTATTCATCTTCACATAAACAGTATCTAGCCCAGTGCCTGGGACTGGTAGGCAGTCAGTAAACATTTGTTGGTCTGAACAAACCAAGGAGTGGTAATAGATGTGAGAGTAGGAAGTAGACTAGAGAAACAGAAGAGCCTACTGACTGGTTAGAATTAGTGAGACTGGGCAAACTGGAAGGGAGGATGCCATGACTTGATTTCTGGCTTGGGTAGAGGGGGCAAATGGAAAGATAAATCTGGAGCTTTGATGAGAGGTCTTGACACTACGTTTTTTTATTTCATCAATGTATAGGGCTCAGAGGAACTTACTTTTCTCAGAACAGGAGTTTTACAGTATGATACTGTTAATTAATCCTCACAATGGTCTATAAATGATTAGTGGCATTTTACAGATGAGCAAACTAAGGTGTGTAAGATGGACCAGAAATTTAAAACCAGGTCTTTTCACCTTAAATCCATGTCCTTTTTATGATACCTTTCAGGAAAATTATAGATGCTTGGTGATAGTAAATGTTGAATAGAAGTCAAGTAAGATGATATTAACATTGTCCTTAGTTGTGGCAAACAAAGAGTTCATCTGCAATCTTAGGGAAGGGCACAGGAGGAAAAGTGCACTTTACTGAAGCGTGTTGTGTGGGTAACTGGAACAAGAGAGCAGTAACCACAAGGAGGGAAGCAGAGTAAAAGTTAAAAGGGAATGTTTGCCTAAGTGTTCAAGAGAAGCACGTGGACTGTAGCCCTTCAGAAACAACACACCGTAAAAAAGAGCAGTCTAGGGACACCTGGGTGGCTCAGTCAAACATTTGACTTTGACTTGGGTCATGATCTCACAGTACATGGGTTCGAGCCCTGTGTTGGGCTCTGTGCTGACAGCTCAAAGCCTGGAGCCTGTTTCAGATTCTGTCTCTCTCTCTCTCTCTGTCTCTCTCCCCTTTCCCCCACTCATGCTCTGTCTCTCAAAAATAAAAAAATTAAAAAAAAATTTTTTTTAAACAGTCTAGACATTCATTTTTTAATCTTTTCAATCACTGCTTCATCTGTATTTCTCCCCCCTGCTATATGGGCTGCAGAATCAGAGTAGGTGAGTATGGGATGGTCCAGATTGGTTTATGGAGGTGAATCAGGTCCATTACAGAAATAGTGAATATGGCTTCCTTCTTTGATTAGGTTAGCAACTAAGCCTTAGGTATGATCCTGAGAGAAAGGTGTAAAGCATAGACTCAATTAATCAGAACTTAGTATCTCCTGATAGTAGTTTTCTGCCAAGTAAATCTAAATAATATAATTTTGAAAAAAGCTTAAAGGTAATAATTTCCATTAAAAAAGTTTAGATCATTTGTTCTTACTGACAGTTCTTTGTTGTAGAACTCAGAAAAAAAGACATTTGACAGTGAATTGCTGAATTCAATTTGTCATTACTTTGTAATGCTCTAAAAACAAAATAGAAGCAAGATTTTTTTTTTTTTTTAAAGAATCCTGTGGTCTGGCAGTGGAAGGCTCTTACTAGTCCTGTTTTTGTCAATTTTCCCATTTTCTTTTCTTTTATGTTTTATTAAGTTTATTTTGAGAGAGAGACAGAATCCCCCCCCCCCCACACACACACACACACGCACAAGTGTACATGCAAGTGGGGGAGGGGCAGAGAGAGAGAATCCTAAGCAGGCTACCCACTGTCAGCAGTGTGGGACTCGAACTCACAAACTGTGAGATCATGACCCCCAGCCTAAATCAAGAGTTTGACGCTAAACCAACTGAGCCCAGGCATCCCTGTTTTCCCATTTTCTAAAATCTTTAAGAAAATGTGGGCAAAGGAAAGAGGCAATAGTAGCCTAATTTCAGTATTGTTAAATAATTTAGAAAAAAAAGATTGAAATTATTAGAAAACATTGAGTTTTTTCAAAAATTTTGTGTTCATTGTGTTTTGCATTTGTTACTGTTAAGTGCTAGACTTTAACAATATTTTCAGGAACTTGGAAGGAAAAAAGAACCACGTTATCTAATTTTAGATTATTTAAAATTTTAGATTAATATCTGCTCCTTAAGGTATTTGAACACCAAAATCTCTTCTAACATTTAGTCCCTGTTTCCTTTTAGACTTTGATTAATTACTATTGTCAGGAGAAATATTTCCATCATGTATTACTTACTGCCAGTGAAGGAGTTAAGAGGTATGGCAGTGACCCAGTCTTCAGGTTTTATCATGCCTATGGTACATTAATGGAAGGTATGTGCTAATTATTAAACATGTTCCATAAGTTTTAAATTCTTGTTTTGCACTATGAAGTTTTTCACATTATAATTTTGATTTTCAGGTAGAACTCAAGAAGCTCTTCGGGAATTTGAGGCTATTAAAAATAAACAAGATGTATCACTTTGTTCTCTAATTGCACTGATATATGCCCATAAAATGAGTCCTAATCCAGGTATAGTATTTAAGTATAATGCTTAGGACAATATTTTCTACTCAATTCATTTTGATTTTTCTCAATTACCATAACATTTAGTCTGATAATCTATATTATAATTTTCTATAGTTACCATTTTATATATTTGTTTTATCTTCCTAACAAGGTTACTGATTTATCAAGCACAAGAAATACGTGTCTTTTATCACTTTCATATTCCTTTTATCTTAGGGCAAAAGTTTCATTAATATATAGGGATCATTTGAAATAATATAAAGTTGTATATTAGCAATTATTAAACAAAGGACAGCCCAAAATAGGTTTACACATAAATTGCAGCCAACTTTAATTTTTTTTTTTAATGTTTATTTTTGAGACAGAGGGAGACAGAGTGCAAGTGAAAGTGAAAAGATGAGCTACATACTAGAAAAAATATTTGCAATTCATTAACTGACAAGAAAATAGTGTTTGAATATAAAAAGAACTCTTACAAAAATAAAGAGCCAATGTAATAAAGTCATAGAATATGAACAGATAATACACAGAGAAAAGGCTGATACAAATATGAAGAGATGTTCAACTTGTTAGTAAGTAGGGAAATTAAAATTGCAAAAAGACACCATTTTACATGTATCATATCATCAGATTGGCAAAATTTAAAAATTTTTTTTAATGTTTATTTATTTTTGAGACAGAGAGTGTGAACAGGGGAGGGGCAGAGAGAGAGGGAGACACAGAATCTGAAATAGGCTCCAGGCTCTGAGCTGTCAGCACAGAGCCCAATGCGGGGCTTGAACCCACAAACTGTGAGATCATGACCTGAGCCGAAGTCGGACGCTTAACCGACTGAGCCACCCAGGTGCCCCATTTTGCAGCCAACTTTATAGCTTATACGCAAATCTATAGCTACATGCAGTTTCTCCCTTCCACTGTATCTTAAGCTTCTCAAAGCCCCATATACATCCCTGCAGGGCAGGGAGGGGTGCTCGCTCTTAGAAGATATTCAGTAAATTTTTATCCAGTAGTAGGTTGGGAAATATAACTAGATTATGGAAAGAACCTTATGCATAAGCCAATAATTAAAATTGTGCGAACTGTCAACGAACAGTGATCTTAATGGCTGAAGCACAATATCATAATTACAGGTAATAAAGAAGAAATAGTATTGTATTCTTTCATACATATCCAGTAACAGCTAATAGCGTTACAAATGTACATCATGTTTCAAATAATTAGACTATAACCAGATGTCACAGAATGTCTTTTTTTAATATTAGAAAATTTTTTTCCAAAGCAAAAGTATCACATATCTCCTTTATCCTACATGTACTTGCACAGATCAACAAAAAGTGACTTAAAACATTAATGTGTTTAACAAGTAAACAAATCTAATGACTAGATGCTTACCTTCTGCAAGAGACTATGCCAAACACAGAGAATACAAAAGAATTGTAAGAAGTGACCCATGACATCAAGTTTATAGTCTAGTTAAGAAAAGAAAATGTAAAACCCATAAAGGTTAAATTCTAATGTTACTATTAAATAAAATTATGAGAAATAAAACAAATGAGTTCATAATTAACTGAAAATGGTATGTACTATTAATCCATAGAAGAACAAAGCAAACGCTTTGTGTAAAATGGGGCCTTAATCTGGTTTTAGAAGCACAAGTAGGATTTGAATATAAAACATATGTGTCGTACAGGATAAATCAATGGGCAAATATGTGGAAGTGGTTCAGGATTAGGCTCTTGTATGGATCTCCTTTCTCTGTGCTCCAGCAGGAGTGTATTTAGGTGGAACACAGAACTTGCATAGAGAGATGTAATCAGTAAATCTAAAAAAAAAGAGAGATTCGTACAAACTATTTTCCTCTTAGAATCAAGTTTTCATTTAATTGGTTATTCCCAAGAGTGTTGGTTCTGTTGGGAAATGTGATTTCCAGGACACTAAAAGGATGGAGGCAGAAATATTGTTTAGAAACACCTGAGTACAGACTTTACTTTCTACCATAGATGATTTTGAGTGGGCTTAAACTCAGGAGGGGCCCAGATGTCCATTACTATTGCCTAGGAAGGGCTTAGATTATTCATGTCCATTCTTTCTGAATACAGATGTAAGCCCTGATTATAAAAGGTCCATTAAGAACTCGAGCTGATATCTGGTAAGAGCCAGCTTTGTGCAGATGGTGTCACAGCTAACAGGTGGCCTACTTGAGACTTGATAGATACCTGGGCAGGAAAGTACAAATCGTGCCCCTGCCCTGATGAGTTCTGTTTCTACAGAGTTCTGTCTCTGTATCCTGGCTACTTAATGAAAACTTCTGTAGGTGTTCAAGTGGGTGCGTTGGAGGGTCTTCTTGCCAGGCAATCTGTATAGCCTTCCAGAAACAATTTCATTTCATGAACTCAAAGTCGTACCTTGGTGGTTCCACATTTAAGTTTACATTGGTATCATTAGAGATAAAAGAAAGAGTCGTAATACCTTTTCTGAGTAGCCATTTCCAGAAAGGTAGTCAGAATCACAGCCTTCAGCTTTGACATTTCTTCTTCCTTATTGCATAGTTGATCCACATTCAGATTCAATTCAGGATTTGGATCGAATTGATAGTTGTGTCCTAAGCACACGTGTAATAGATTTAAAGGTTAGAGTTATGAGAGGTGGGCCATCTTTTTAAGGGAGCTGCTATGCAGTCAGTATTAAACCATGTAAATAATGGTAATTATACTACCTTTCATTGACCAATGAGAGCAGCCAGGAATGTTTACATATTTTAGAATTGGATTAGGGAGTTGGGTAATTTGAGTACTCGTCCTGGATTTGCCCCTAATAATTTCAGAATCATTGCTAATTTTTTCAAGTCCTATTGCTAAAAAATTTGTATATTTAGCCTTTATATCTTGAGAATGACATAAACTATAGAACTGTAGTATGCATTACAGTGGTCATTAACTACATGTGGATGTTTGAGTGCTGGAATGTATCTAGTTTGAGAACCCAAGTTTAAATTAACTTTAATTCTAATTAATTTTAAATTTATTTTATTTATTTTTTTTTTTTTATTTTTTTTTTGAGATGATTTATTTTTGGGACAGAGAGAGTACAGAGCAGAACGGGGAGGCAGAGGAGAGTATAGAATCGGAAATATGGCTCCGTGCCCGGTTATCAGCCCATAAGTCTTCGACAAACTCAATGACCATGATCGCATCTCAGCTTAAAGCCTGATCTAACCACTGCCACCCAGGCGCCCCAGAATTAATTTTAAATTTAAAACTGATACTTGATTCAGTTATCAGAAAAGTAATGTTTGGAATAATGAATATACGAATCTGTTGTTTTCATCTATAAATTTTAAGGAAGCTAAGTACAAATCACATAATTTTGAAGAGAATTTAGCATTATAACTGAGATGTACCTTGTAAAAAATACATATCAGATTTTTAAAATTTAATAAGAAAAAAAGTATCTCAATTTTCATGTCAATTGTGTGTTGGAATGATAATTTGGATAAATTAAGTTAAATAAAATATGTTAGTAAAATCAATTTTACTTGTTTCTTTTTACTTTTTTGATGTGGCTACTAGGAAATTTTAAATTACATATGTGACTTAATATTTTAGTCTGTGAGACAGTGGTGTTCTAGAGAGAACTATATTCTGTGCTCTGTTAATCATCTGACCTATTATGAACACTTGATCTAGAATTTAATTTTTATTTAATGTCTTTTTTCCCCTCCTAGATAAAGAAGCTATTCTGGAATCAGATGCCAGAGTAAAAGAGCAGCGTAAAGGAGCTGGGCCAAAAGCTCTGTACCACGCAGGCTTATTTTTATGGCACATTGGTCGTCATGATAAGGCGAGAGAATATATTGACAGAATGATCAAAATGTCAAATGGCAGTAAAGAGGTAGCTGGTCTTCTTATTTTGAAATAGATACAATAAAGGAAGCTTACATATTAAGTAGTATTTGTTCTATTCTCAATTTATAAATAACAGCTTTATTTTAATATTATTTTGTAAAATTGTGGTTGTCTAAAGTTGTCTATTTTTATGCTGTTAATTAACTCTTGAAAAAATCCCTCCCTGGTTCTTTCCCTACCTTCCTTCCTTATCTCTATCTTTCTCTCTCACTCTCCTTATTGAACTGTTCTAGGTACAAGATACCATTGTTTGCACTGTTAATAATACAAAGATCAGGAATACATAAACTTTACTTACATGGATGGTTCAATCTAGTAGTGTCATAGAGCACCTATGCAGCTAATACTGTTATAATGAACGTTTATAAATGGTGTGAGAGACGTGTGATTGAAGTATTCAGGAAAAGAGTAATTAACAGTTCTTGCTCACTTTGTGCTAGGCACTATTTTGGTACTTAAGGAGAGATCACATCTATAAATGTTAGGAGAATGAGGAAGAATTTCTTGAAGGAAGTAGCATTTGAGGTAAAACCTGAAACATGGATACAGCTTCCACATGCAAAGATGTTGGAAAAGGGAAACAAATACTCCCAATGTGGGGAATAATAAATGGAAATGAGAAAAACAGAGAGATGTGTTGGTTCTGTGTACAGTAAGAAGCTCACTTTTGACGGGAACACTGTAGAAAAAGAGGGTGGAAGAAAAGCTTAGAGAGGTGGGTTGGGACAAATTGAAGGGCCTTGACAGCTAGCTACAAGTATTTCTATGAAATTTAGTAGGCATGGAGAGGTCATTGAGACTTTTAATTGTGGCAGTGGTATTATTAGAGTACAAATTTTGAAGACTGTTTTAAATATGGTTTATAGGATGAACTGGCCTAAGGAGAAACTAGAGTGCTGCCCCCAAATGGTAGTACATACTTTCCAGCAGAAGGTTTTTAAGGGCCTACACTAAAATACTGTACATATATGACCACTGTAATGCATACGAAAGCTTTATAGTTTATATCATTCTCGAGATATACGGGCTAAATTAGATGCAAATTTTTTAACAACAGGACTTGAAAAAATTAGCAATGACTCTAAAATTATTAGGGGCAAGATTTTGAGGTGTCAGATATCAAGGATGTCTCTCTGAGGTCTTAAGTCTGGAGAGTTCAGATCCCAGTTAACATAAACAGAGAATATGTTGAGACGAGAAGGTAATCTTGGAGAGGGTAATGTATTTGGTTCCAGACATACTATGTTTCCACCTCTGGTGGAACAGTGAGATAGAGATAGTAGATGAGCTCTTAGGAAAAGAAAAGTTTAGAAAGAGGTATTGGACTAGAAATAAAGGTTGAGAATCATCCACACAGAAATAATAGTTGAAACGATTCAAATACAGACATTGATCTAGTGAGTAGAAATAGCATTTAGTATTCATTTCTGTCTTTTCAGGTGAAATATAGGGAGGTAAATATAATCTTAAAGATTTGTAAGTTTATGAATTAACCTAGAAAAAAAATTTTTAAGACTTTAAGTAATCTCTACACCCAATGTGGGGCTCGAACTCACAACCCCAAGATCAAGAGTTGCATGCTTTTCAACTGAGCCTGCCAGGTGCCCCTAGAAATTTTTTGATAGAAAAACAGATTTTACAACTTTTTATTTGACATTAAAAAGAAAAGTAACCTGTAGACACCTTCTTTCTCATTCTGTAAACCTTATAATCCACTGGCTCCCTAACATTTCTGAAAGTAAGCATCTGTGACTTCTTCGGTCTTTAATTCCTGAGGCCATTTATCCTTTCATTTGAAATGCACTGGACTATGGGGCGCCTGGGTGGCGCAGTCGGTTAAGCGTCCGACTTCAGCCAGGTCACGATCTCGCGGTCCGTGAGTTCGAGCCCCGCGTCAGGCTCTGGGCTGATGGCTCGGAGCCTGGAGCCTGTTTCCGATTCTGTGTCTCCCTCTCTCTCTGCCCCTCCCCCATTCATGCTCTGTCTCTCTCTGTCCCAAAAATAAATAAAAACGTTGAAAAAAAAAAATTGAAATGCACTGGACTAGTCACAAGGATTAAGATAGTTGCCAGGTTATCTTAACTTTTACTATATATAAAGCAAGACACTTCTGTTTTTCCATCTCTGTTCACTTGGTCTGTTTGCCCAAAAAAAGAAGTAACACATTCTTGTTTATGTATTGAATTACATGTTTAACAACTTTCAATAATAATTTACTAGCAAAGTCCCAGATGAGACTACTGGTTATTTAGTATTAATGGAATATTTGACAAGTTTCTCAATATTGGACACATCATAATCTTAAGGGCTAAAATACATAACAGTTCCCAAAACTCTAGGCTGGAAAAGGTTTGAACCAGTTTTATTGAACATTGTTTTATTGTTCATAACATTTTTTGACAGAGTGATTGTTGTTACTAATTACAGAAAAGGACATTAGTTTTTACCTCTTTCATCAACATTTATTTCTTTTGTTTCCAATAAAATGGGAGTATGATTAGACTTTTTCATTCTACAGGGACAGGTTTTGAGAGCATGGCTTGATATCACAAGAGGAAAAGAACCTTATACTAAAAAAGCACTAAGATATTTTGAAGAGGGATTACAAGATGGAAATGATATTTTTGCTCTGCTGGGTAAGGTGAGTTGAAGTTAGGGTAAATAAATCATATTTTAAAATTTATTCATAATATATATATTTGAAACCCAGCAAAACTGAGTAGTTCAAAAAAGATAGTAATTGTTATGTTACTTTTATCAGCTCTCAACTGTAAGAGGAACTTGCATTTTATTTGTATAGGACAGTGAACTACAAACTAGAGAAAGGTATTTCCTTACCAAATTCCTGAATCCCGATTGGTTTTAATTTGTTTTGTGGTGGTGGTGGTGGTGGTGGTTCCGGTGGTTCCTATATTGCTTATTTACCAAACATGTATGGTTTGTCTAACATGTGCAAGGCATCACTGTAGATACCAGGGAGACCCTGAGCAAAGTAAAACCTCTTGCTTTTATGGAGCTTATACTCTATTGTTGGAGACAGACAATAAACAAAATAAGTAATTAAATTACATAGTATATTGGAAGGTAATAAGTGCAATGGAAAAATAAGTAAATCAGATAAAGGGAGAGCTGGGAGTGTGAACCTATAGTTTTAAATCATGTGGTCAGAGAAAGTGACATTTGAGCAAAGACCTATAGGAAGTGAGAGTTACTGCTCTGTGGGCACCTGGGGGAAAGCATTTACAAATAGAGGAGATAACAAGTTGAACTACCTTAAGGCATGTTCAGGGCATTGCTGGGAGGCCAGGAGACGAAAGTGGAATGAGCTAAGCAGAGGGTAGAAGTGGAGGCTTGAGGAAAAGAAGGTGAGTATGAGGATGGGGGGTAGCGGGGTGTGGGAGAGATGAGGAGAGCCATGGCTGATTGTGTAAAGCCTTTGGCTTTTACTTTGAACCAGATGGATGGGCAGCCAATGATAAGAGAAACAACATGACCTGACTTACATTGTGAAGGATAAGTCATTAGAAATCATTGGTGGGTAGAAATGTATAATTTGGGTCCTTTCTTCAGTTCCATTGATGCCTTCTGAATGTCTTAAAATATTTAAAGTTTTTGATTCAGCAAAAGGAAATTAAATTTATTTGTTAGGAAAACAGCCTGTTAGATAAGCAGTAATTTGCAGGTGTAAAAAAGAAGAGAGGATTATTAGTGTCTTGACTCTTGTTAATATCCCCTCATGGCTTTTGCCAGTTTCTATGGCTAGTGAACTTGTTCGGATATTCGCCTCTGGTACAAATAGTATTCACTCTGACTGCACTCAAGTTTTACCTGATGGCATTGCTAGACAAATTGAGCATTTATCAAGCTTTTAAAAAGTTTTTCTTGATCATTTCAACTCCACCCTCTTCTTAAAGAAAAGCTGATTGAGGAGCACCTGGGTAGCTCAGTTGGTTAAGCATCCAACTCTTGATTTCAGTTCAGGTCATGATCTCACCGTCCTGAGATGGAGCCCCTGGTTGTGCTCTGTGCTGGGCATGGAGCCTGCTCAAGATTCTCTTCTTCTGCCCCTCCCCTGCTTGCACTCATGCTCTCTCTCACTCTCTCTCAAAAGAAAAAAAAAGCTAGTTGATAATCTACTAAGGTCTAGGGCTATTTCAGGTGTCAGTATAAGCAGCTTAGAGATTTACCTTTTGCCTCCAATACTTAAGATTTGTTTAAATTCTTTTTCTGATACAACCCATTCCAGTTATGTATTTATTTTTCAGTTAATTCAATAGAGGATGTTTGCATTAGCCTAATTCCAACTAGGAATGATAGGAACCAAGTACACAGCAAATTTAGTTTCGTTTAATGTGTTATGTGGCATCATATGGGAGGTGATGGTCTAAGGAAGTAATAGATGTGGTCCTTTAGTATGATTTTCTTGTTTTTATATTATCAGCTATTTAGGCAGATTCCAAGGGTATATATAATTTGAAAACATTCTCAGCATTAATCTTTATGCATTATTGTCAACTATTTAGAAATTTTAATAATAATTTATTTTGGCATAGTAGCAGGGTCGGGTGGTTCTCAGGCTTTAATTATATGGGAGTTATATGGGACTATAGATGAGAGTATAATCTCAAACCTATTTCAGGATTATATTGTAATTCTACTGTACATGTATTGAGACTGGACACTCATTTTGAACTGAGATATTCCAGGACTAAATTTATTCCTAAAGGAGATCCAAAAGCAAATTTTTAAAAATCTGATATATGATAAATATGCCTAATGTCTGCTCTTAAAGTGCTAACTCTATAGCTTTATTTTTTCTGACTATGAAAGTAATACATGGATACTGTATAGAATGCAGTAATATCAGAATTAAGAATAGATATCACCATTGAAGATAACCAGTTAAACTATTATATTATAAATGACATCTCTTTATGTCATTAAGCATAGATCTATAAATCTATATAATGACTTTTAATGGCCACCTAAAATTTGATTAAATAGGTATGCTATAGTTTGATCCTGAATGGACATTTTGGGTTATTTTTTTTTCTACTATATCTAATATAAATCTGCCATAAATATAATCTTTTTTTTTCCTATGGTCTTATTCAATTATTTCATTAAGATACATCCTGGAAGTGAAAATATTAAGGTAGAGGGAGTTGTTTGAACTTTATTTTGCTTATTTCTTAAAGTCTTACTTTCTTTAAAGTTACTTATTTTTTATTTCTTTTTGTTTTTAAGCTTATTTATTTATTTTGAGAGAGTGCATGCAAGTGAGGGAAAGGCAGAGACAGAGAGGGAGAGAGAATCCCAAGCAGCTTCTGTGCTGTCAGCACAGAGCCAGATATGGGACTCAATCTCACAACCGTGATATGGCCTGAGCTGATACCAAGTCAGATGCCTAACCAGTAAGCCACCCAGGGGCCCTATTTTATTTTTTTAAAGATTTTATTTTTAAGTAATCTCCACCTAACATGGGACTTGAACTTAAACCCTGAGATCAAGAGTTGCATGTTCTATGGACTGAGCCAGCCGGGTGTCCCAGCCTGAAAGTAGTTTTTTTTTTTTTTTTTTTTTTTTTTTTTTTAAAGATACAAAACCTCTTCATTTTATTTTATTTTACTTTTAATTTTTTTAACATTTATTCATTTTTGAGAGACAGAGAGAGCGTGAGCAGGGGAGGGGCAGAGAGAGGGAGACACAGAATCTGAAGCAGGCTCCAGGCTCTGAGCCACCAGCACAGAGCCAGTCACAGGGCTCAAATCCACAAACTATGAGATCATGACCTGAACCAAAATCAGACACCCAACGGACTGAGCCAGCCAGGTGCCTCTGAAATGTCTTCATTTTAGATGCTATTTGCAAATATCTTGGAAATACTTTATTCTAAAAGATAATTTTTCTGTTCTAGTTATTTAAAAGTAGATTTTATAACACAGCCACTTACATACAGTATTTTTATTGTTTTGTGATATTTTAAAATTTTCATTTTGTTAAAAACTTATTTTATATTTCTCATTATAAAAGTGATAACTATTCCTTACAGAAAGTCAGAAAACAAAAACATAGAAAATGTTAAACGTTAGTATCCTGCCTCTCAAGGGTAACTGTTACGAGAACCTCGGTATATATGATTGGAGTTTTGATGTCACTTTTTTCCTCCTATTAGGCACAATGCCTTGAGATGCGCCAGAATTATTCAGGTGCTCTGGACACTGTGAACCAGATAATAGTGAACTTTCCGAGTTTCCTTCCTGCTTTTGTAAAGAAAATGAAACTACAGCTCGCCTTACAGGATTGGGACCAGACTGTTGAAACAGCACAGAGGTTAAGTAAAAAAAGATAGTACAAGTACCTTTGGATCTGGTTATAATTTCAGGGGAAAAAAAAAAATCTGTATTCTTTTATCATAAGATTTTTTATTTTTATTTAAGTTTATTTACTTACTTTGAGAAACAGAGAGCATGAGCAGGGGAGGGGCAGAGAGAGAGGAAGAGAGGATCCATGCTGTCAGCACAGAGCCTGACATGGGGCTCGATCCCACGAACTGCGAGATCATAACCTGAGCCAGAATCAAGAGTCAGAGTCTTAACCAACTGAGCCACCCAGGCACCCCTATTATAAGATTTTTTTAATTTGATTTTTTTTCAAGCAATATAGAATTGAAAGAGAACTTAACATTGCACTGTTTTTAGCAACTGAATGTTTTGATTTATATAAATATCTGAATAGTTGTTCTAAGACAGATAATCTTTTATGCAAATATCCCTGCCCTAGTGAAGCTTATATTCAAATGAGAGGAACCATATAATAAGCAGAACAACTAAAAGATTACGTAGTATGTTAGAAAGTTTTAAGTGCTATGGAAAAAAGATAAAGCTGGAAAGTGAAATAGGGAGTGGGAGGAGGGATTCCATTTTATGGGATGGTCAGGGAAGGCATCACTGAATAGGTGACATTTGAACACAGGGAGCAAGCCATGCAGGTATCTGGGAGAAGACTGCAGAAGGTCGGAAAAGCAAGTGTGAAGACCTGAGGCAAGGGTGTGTGTCATGTTTTTAAGGAGTATGAAGGGGGGGTAAGATGACTAGACAGTGAAGTCAGAGCAGAAGGGTAGGAGGGAGCAGGGGAGCCAGGATATAAATGGTCTTGTTGGTCATCTTGAGGATTTAGATTTTTCTTCTGAAGTATAAAATGGAGGATCCCCTCTCTCCCTCGTCTCCTTCCTCATTTTCCTACTTTCTCTCTCCACTGGCCTCCCACTTCTCCCACATCTTTTTCTTGATATTTACGATAAAGAAACCAGTCTTGTATCCAGTAGGTTTTCCATAAGAATTTTATTGATTGCATGCCATGTACTGTTGCTTATCCTCTGAATTTCCTGTAAATTGGTACTGGATATAGAGGCTTAGTTAGATACATGTTCAATTTTTTTTTCTTTTTGCAGTTACTTCATAAGTGGTGATGTGTTCTTTTATCGAAGGGACATAATCCCCTGCTGTCTTTTTGTGGTAATATCAGAAATCTGTGCTCAGTATCTGGGTGCTTTAGGATTACAATATGGTTATATCATTCTGCATTTCTTAGCTGGAGTACTATTAAAAAAAATTTTGCATCAACTGGTCGGTTATCCAGTGGTATAGTTCATATAAGAAAAGTTGGATAAGTGCTTGAATCTTTTATTTCTGAGTTTCAAAAAACCAAAAAAATTAGAAAGTTCCCTAGCATCCCCGAATTGTGATTGATTAGCAGTTTGGGTTTATATAACATGGATTAAACTTGTGTGCTTCTAACCGTTTTGGTTGTTATAATTGTTCATATTGTCTCACTATTGGCTGTTAGTAGCCTCTTCAAGTTAGTTCTTAGGTCCTTTTGACGGGATCCTAGTAGTCTTCAGTAATTTCCTTGCTATTTGGTGTATAGCAAGACGCACTAGGGTCATTTTGTGTATTTTTTGCCCTAAACAGGAATTAGCTGTTGTGGAGTGCAATATAATCCCTTTTAGTGGGAAGTGATATTTGGAGGCCACAATTTGGGCATTAGTAACTCTTTGATGTTTATATTTTTCTAGATTTCTTTTCTAGGCACTCTGTATGAGTGGGAGGTGGTGGAGTATCGATATAGTATATTAAATATATATATGTGTATATTATATATATATACACATATATATTTGGGGATGTTTGTAAAAGAAAAAATAGACTATATAGTTTTTAAGCTTGATTTTTATTTACTTGGTATTTTGTGGATATTCTTTTATATCCATTCAGCCAGATATACGTAATTATTTTTTAACAAAGTACACATCCATAAAGTAAACATATAAGTAGTTGATCTTTCCCCGTTGATAGCCATTTAGGGGTACACACACACACACCCCTTTTTACACATATAGGTATATTTCTGGAGGATCATTTCTTAAATGAGGGATTACTGAATTAAAGGGAATCATATTTGTTAGGGTAGGCCGAGCTCCTATAAAATAGATCTAAACACATAATAGAATATTTTTTCTGCCATATGTAATTGTTTTGAGTGGGTGTAACTTTTGATCAGTCAGCCTTCCTCCACACTGTCATTCAGGGACCTAGGTTCTTTCCATATTGCAACTCTGCGATGTCCTAAAACCTCATGACGTTGGTATCCAGCTGGTAGAAAGGGTAAGAGTGTGGCGGAATCATTCCACTTTCCTTTAAAGCCCAGGCCTAGAAGTGGGCTGTCTCCCGTGGGCCACATCTAATTGCAAAGGTAGCAGGAACATGTCAGCTAGCTATGTGCCCAAGCAAATGAGGAAAGAATGATTTGAGGAGACAGATGGCAGTCTCTATCTCGGGTATGCATGTTTGAAATTTGCAAAGACACTACCAAATTGTTCTTCTAAGAAATTGTACTAATTTATACTCCCATGAGTACTCTCCAGAATGCCCCTCCCCCATCCTTGTCAACTCTGGCTATTATCAGTGTGGTTTTGTTTTTAACGATCTGGTAGAATAAAAGTGGTAGTATCTGGTAGAATAAAACCGTATTTTTATTTTCATTTCTTTGATTATGTTGAAATTGAGCACCTTCATATTGCTAAGGCTATTTTTTCCCCTGTAAAATGACTGGTCATTTTTTTCCCCATTATTCCCTGTATTTCAAATACATTTTTATATTTTGGGGAGCATGTTCTCCATCACATTTCTTTTTTGATAGTTTTCTTGGCTCTTTTTCTATCGACTGTCAGAATTAACTTACCAAGTTAAAAAAAAAAAAAAAAAAGAAACCTAAGATTTTGGTTTGAAATGCATTGAATCTATAGATTATTTGGGGGGGGGGAACCTTTTTAACCAAAAATGGGTGTTATCATGTGGCAACTATTGGGGCATAGCAAACAGCTACAAATCTCAGGGCTTAACGATAGTAAGCACTCATTCCTCACTTTGGTAGGGATCATCTGGGGTCTGCTGGCCTCTACCAGCCCCGCCTGGTGTTCTGCTTCAGATTTTAGGTCCATCTGGGTGGTGTGGCACTTTATTGCAGTTTGGTCTCTGGTCAGCTCTACGGGTGTTCTTCTTTGGGCTCAAGCTAGAGAGCAGCAGCTACCCAGAGGTGAGCTCGTCTCCGTGGTTATAGCAGAGATGCAAAGGGACAGGCAGAAGAATCCAGTGCCTCTGAAACTTTGGTGTGGCACACTGCCAGTCCTGTTCACATTCCATTGGCCAACATTAGGAAGATGTCCAAGTCCACAGCCAAGGAGCAACAAAGTACCTGTCAGCATTTATAGGAAGAACTCACTTTTGTGGCAGAAGGTATATATTCTTGGAAGGTGGAAAATTGAAGCCAATAATTCATTGTACCACATCATCCATAATAAGAAACCTGGTGTATTATTACCCCATTTGTTCATTTCTTTTTTAAATGTCCTTGAGCAGAGTTCATAGGAATTTATATAGCTTTTGCATATTTTTTACTAAGTTTATATCTTTTTTGGGGTAAGGGGAGTTGTTCCTATTACTAATCAGATATTTTTCCATAATATTTTCAAATTTTTTTTGTCACATAGGAATCTGTTTTAATGTTGTGAATTACATTAAGAGACTTTTTTTTTTTTTTAAATGTTTATTTATTTTTGAGACAGGGAGAGACAGAGCATGAACAGGGGAGGGGCAGAGAGAGAGGGAGACACAGAATCAGAAGCAGGCTCCAGGCTCTGAGCCATCAGCCCAGAGCCCGACGCGGGGCTCGAACTCACAGACCGCGAGATCGTGACCTGAGGTGAAGTCGGATGCTCAACCGACTGAGCCACCCAGGCGCCCCAAGAGACTTTTAAATATTTAACCAATCTTCTCATTCCTGAAATTCTTGTAATAAATCTTCCTGGTCAAGGTGAATTATTCTTTTAATATACTGTTATGCATGGTTAAGTAATACTTTATTTAGGATTGCCAAAGAATTTAATGAGACTGGTACAATCTATTCATATCTTTTTAAAACATATTAAAGACTAAGAATCAGTACTCACTTCAGTAGTGCATAAAGACTAAGAATCAGAGATTTTTTTTTAGCTTAAATAATGAGGTTGATAATTTTCATAAAGGAGATTTTATTTTACTACTTAAAATTCTTACTTAGATAATGGAGTAGTCAGACCAGCAAAATGACTTTTTCAACCTTCAAATAAAAGAAAGCACATTAAGTTTATTTCAACATTAAGTGAAATGTTTTTCTGCAGGTTAATGCTTCAAGATAATCAAAATGTGGAAGCTCTAAGAATCCTGGCTCTTTACTATTTGTGTAGGGAGGGGGACATAGAGAAGGTAAGTTGTATTGTACTATTTAAGTTTCCTGTATTAAAAAATCTGTAGTTACACACACACACATGCACATATATAAGAGCCTTCAAGAGCTCTTTTAGAATGTATTACATGGTACTTTTTACTTGATTCCTAGAAATACACCTTAACAAAGAGATGAGCTTCTTAAATCAACTAGTAAAACAAAAATATAGTTAAAACTACCTTAAAAATTCCTTAAATCATTAATTATAGTATATGTGGTTTTCCACATAAAACCCCAATACAGTATTATATACATGATTAATGTAACTGGTGGTGCTAGGTATGGAAGAATATATATACAAAATATGATTTGTAGTATTTTTACAATTTAACTGTGTTTGCATTATTTAAATGGGCTTAGGATGAAATCCCATTGGACCTTATCATAAGGTACATGTTTCTCTAGTAATGAGCACATTGATTATATACTGAATTATGGAATGCCAAAATCCAGTTTGAAGCAAATAGTATTATAACAGGTAATAGATTTGAATTTTGTTTAGTCTGGTTAAATCGGTTAATATGATAGCAACTAATAAATTTTTCAGTAAATACCATAAGAATTTTAGTAGGGGTGCCTCTTCAGTAAATTTTCCTGGCATTGAAGTTACTTACCATAAGTGTCTTAGTGATTTTTCTAATCTAGAGAATATTTTAAATATAAACCAGACTATATAAGTAATTTGAAGTCCGATCTCATACAATAGTAACGTTTATACTTATGTTATTATTCATATCTCATGTGTGTCATGAATTGGAGAGGGAGCTTGGCATATATAGTTAATTGAATATTATGGGTATCTTTACCTACCCAAAGAATTCCATTCAATAACAGATATTTTAAAAACACATTTTAAAACTCAGTTCTTTATTCATAATTCTTGAGCCTTTTAAAAGAATTTTTGGGGCACCTGCATGGCTCAGTCGGTTAAGCATCTGACTTTGGCTCACTCATGATCTCACAGTTGGTGAGTTCAAGCCCCGGATCAGGTTCTGTGCTGACAGCTTGGAGCCTGGAGCCTGCTTTGGAGTGTGTGTCCCTCTCTCTCATTCTGCCCCTCCCCTGCTCATGCTCTCTCTCAAGAATAAATAAACATTAAAGAAATTTTTTTTAATTAAAAAAAAGAACTTTTAATACATTTTGCAACATAGATGATTTCACTGGAGTCAAGAGGGAATTTGCAAAAGCAAACATTTTTTAAATGATAATATTTATTCATGTATATGTCATGTATTCTTTTTTTTCTTTGTTATTTTAAAATTATACTGGATACTTTTGTTTTAGGCTGCCACCAAGCTGGAAAACTTAGAAAATGCATTGGATGCCACGGAACCACAAAATGCTCAACTTTTTTATAAGATCACAGTAGCCTTCAGCAGAACTGTAAGAGTGCCTGCAGTGTACCAGAGTTCTGTATCTGTAGCTGGGAATATAAAATAAGTCACGAAGGTTGAGGCACCAAAGGGCATATGGCCTAGAGTGAAAATACCCTACATATATAAATATGTGATAACATTCCTAAGAGAATCCGTTTGGAGGAGATAACATAATTTCTCACCAACCATAAGAAGACATCATAAAGGCTTCATGGAAGGCTTTGTTGAGCCTTTAAGGATAGGAAAGTGGTAAATTCCAAAGGAAATGGGAAATCATGTATTTTAATCAGAGCGTAGGATTTATGATTAGAGTTATTCTTTGTTTTGTTTTTTAAAACTACAGTTGACCCTTGACTGACACGGGTTTGAACTGCATGAGTCCACTTAAAGCAGATCTTTTCAGTCAATACAGTACTGTACTGTAAATGTAGTTTCCTTATTGTGATTTAATAAAATTTTCTTTTCTTTAGCTTACTTTATTACAAGAATACAGTATATAATACATATAATGTACAAAATATGTGTTAATAGACTATGTTATCAATTAGGTGTGGTCAGTAGTAGGATATTTTAATAGTTCAATATTTGGGGAATCAAAAATTATATGCAGCTTTTGAACTGTGCAGTGAAGGGTGGAGGCCAGCACCCTACCCCCATGTTATTCAAGGGTCAGTTGTATTTGAAAAAAAGTTTTAACATAGGTAAGAGACAATTTTGGTGGGGGAAATGGTTGGGATCTTTTTTTTTTAATAATAATAAAGAAATGTTTTTATTACAACATCCAATAAGAAGAAGATAATCAGGAATGGAGTAGAAAAATACAGCAGAATCTCAAAATCAATACAAGGAATGGAGGATTGAAAAGTTAATTAAACTAATTCCTTATTTAAAAAATAAGGAAAAGGTACACATAAGTAGATGAAATAATAGATAAACTGAAAGAAAAAATCAAGGATATCAATTGTTAAATGCCATGAAGAAACTGATTCTTTTGTTAAAAAACAGATTGTCAGATTGTGTGAGATTTAGAGGGGAAAAAAATCCCTGCTATTACAAAAGTTTGAGTTAAGGAAGATATTTACCTTTTTTTATTTATTTCATTGCCAGATCATTTATTTTGATTAGTTTTTAATTAAGTTTAAAAAATTCAAGCAGTTTAGAACTTTACTCTTAAAAGTTACTGTGGTAGGCTCAGTCACTTGAGTGTCCCGGCTCTTGATTTCAGCTTAGGTCATGATCTCCGGGTTGTGAGTTGGAGCCCCACATCTGGCTCTGTGCTGGCAGCACAGAGCCTGCTTGGGTTTGTCTCTCTCCCTCCCTCTCTCTGCGCATGCCCTGCTTGCGATCTCACTCTTTCTCTAACATAAATAAATAAATAAACTTTAAGTTATTATGTTAGAACATTATGTACTTATTTTAGTAGAGTAGCCATTTCTTGAACTATTTTTGAAGCTTTTATAACAAAGATTCTAATGCATGATCTTTTTTTTTTAAGTTTGTTTATTTTTGAGAGAGAGAGAGTGTGTGTGTGTGGGCACGATCAGGGGTTGGGCAGAGAGAGAGGGAAAGAGATTCCCAAGCAGGTTCTGTCCTGTCAGTGTGAAGCCCAGTGCGGAGCTCGGTTCCACGAACTGGGAGATCCTGACTTGAGCCAAAATCAAGAGTCAGATGCTTAACTGAGTTACCCAGCTGAGCCCAAATGCATGATCTTTAAAAATATTTGCCCTGAAAC